TCGTGATTTAGTATTGGGGGGAGGCCCGGGCTCGTGATTTAGTATTTGGGGGAGGGCCGGGCTCGTGATTTAGTATTGGGGGGAGGCCCGGGCTCGTGATTTAGTATTGGGGGGAGGGCCGGGCTCGTGATTTAGTATTAGGGGGGAAGCCCGGGCTCCTGATTTAGTATTGGGGGGAAGCCCGGGCTCGTGATTTAGTATTGGGGGGAAGCCCGGGCTCGTGGTTTAGTATTGGGGAAGCCCGGGGGGAATTTCTATTTCAAAGATTTCAAAGATTTCAAAGATTTCAAAGGTTGCAAAAGGTTTGGGAAACTTCCCGGGAGTTTCCCCCGCCTTTTGCAACCTTTGAAATCTTTGAAATCTTTGAAGTCTTTGAAATAGAAATTCCCCCAATACTAAATTACGAGCCCGGGCTCGTGATTTAGTATTGGGGGGAAGCCCGGGCTCGTGATTTAGTATTGGGGGGAGGGCCGGGCTCGTGGTTTAGTATTGGGGGGAGGCCCGGGCTCGTGATTTAGTATTGGGGGGAGGGCCGGGCTCGTGATTTAGTATTAGGGGTGAAGCCCGGGCTCGTGATTTCGTATTGGGGGGAAGCCCGGGCTCGTGATTTAGTATGGGGGGAAGCCCGGGCTCGTGATTTAGTATTGGGGAAATTTCTATTTCAAAGATTTCAATCATTTCAAAGATTTCAAAGGTTGCAAAGGTTTGCAAAAGGTTTGGGAATTCCCGGGGAGTTTTCCCCAGCCTTTGGCAACCTTTGAAATCTTTGAAATTATTTGAAATTCTTGAAATAGAAATTCCCCCATACTAAATTACGAGCCGGGCTCGTGATTTAGTATTGGGGGGAGGGCCGGGCTCGTGATTTAGTATTGGGGGGAAGCCCGGGCTCGTGATTTAGTATTGGGGGGAAGCCCGGGCTCGTGATTTAGTATTGGGGGGAAGCCCGGGCTCGTAATTTAGTATTGGGGGAATTTCTATTTCAAAGATTTCAAAGATTTCAAAGATTTCAAAGGTTGCAAAAGGCGGGGAAACTCCCGGGAATTTCCCCCGCCTTTTGCAACCTTTGAAATCTTTGAAATCTTTGAAATAGAAATTCCCCCAATGCTAAATTACGAGCCCGGGCTCGTGATCTAGTATTGGGGGGAAGCCCGGGCTCGTGATTTAGTATTGGGGGGGAAGCCCGGGCTCGTGGTTTAGTGTTGGGGAAGCCCGGGGGGAATTTCTATTTCAAAGATTTCAAAGAATTCAAAGATTTCAAAGGTTGCAAAAGGTTTGGGAAACTTCCCGGGAGTTTCCCCCGCCTTTTGCAACCTTTGAAATCTTTGAAATCTTTGAAATCTTTGTTCCCCCAATACTAAATTACGAGCCCGGGCTCGTGATCTAGTATTGGGGGGAAGCCCGGGCTCGTGATTTAGCATTGGGGGGAAGCCCGGGCTCGTGGTTTAGTATTGGGGAAGCCCGGGGGGAATTTCTATTTCAAAGATTTCAAAGATTTCAAAGATTTCAAAGGTTGCAAAAGGTTTGGGAAACTTCCCGGGAGTTTCCCCCGCCTTTTGCAACCTTTGAAATCTTTGAAATCTTTGAAATCTTTGAAATAAAAATTCCCCCAATACTAAATTACGAGCCCGGGCTCGTGATTTAGTATTGGGGGGAAATCCGGGCTCGTGATTTAGTATTGGGGGGAGGGCCGGGCTCGTGATTTAGTATTGGGGAGAGGCCTGGGCTCGTGATTTAGTATTGGGGGGAGGGCCGGGCTCGTGATTTAGTATTAGGGGTGAAGCCCGGGCTCGTGATTTAGTATTGGTGGGAAGCCCGGGCTCGTGATTTAGTATTGGGGGGAAGCCCGGGCTCGTGGTTTAGTATTGGGGAAGCCCGGCGGGAATTTCTATTTCAAAGATTTCAAAGATTTCAAAGGTTGCAAAAGGTTTGGGAAACTTCCCGGGAGTTTCCCCCGCCTTTTGCAACCTTTGAAATCTTTGACATCTTTGAAATCTTTGAAATAGAAATTTCCCCAATACTAAATTACAAGCCCGGGCTCGTGATTTAGTATTGGGGGGAGGCCCGGGCTCGTGATTTAGTATTTGGGGGAGGGCCGGGCTCGTGATTTAGTATTGGGGGGAGGCCCGGGCTCGTGATTTAGTATTGGGGGGAGGGCCGGGCTCGTGATTTAGTATTAGGGGTGAAGCCCGGGCTCGTGATTTCGTATTGGGGGGAAGCCCGGGCTCGTGATTTAGTATTGGGGGGAAGCCCGGGCTCGTGGTTTAGTATTGGGGAAGCCCGGGGGGAATTTCTATTTCAAAGATTTCAAAGGTTGCAAAAGGTTTGGGAAACTTCCCGGGAGTTTCCCCCGCCTTTTGCAACCTTTGAAATCTTTGAAATCTTTGAAATCTTTGAAATAGAAATTCCCCCAATACTAAATTACGAGCCCGGGCTCGTGATTTAGTATTGGGGGGAGGCCCGGGCTCGTGATTTAGTATTTGGGGGAGGGCCGGGCTCGTGATTTAGTATTGGGGGGAGGCCCGGGCTCGTGATTTAGTATTGGGGGGAGGGCCGGGCTCGTGATTTAGTATTAGGGGTGAAGCCCGGGCTCGTGATTTCGTATTGGGGGGAAGCCCGGGCTCGTGATTTAGTATTGGGGGAAGCCCGGGCTCGTGGTTTAGTATTGGGGAAGCCCGGGGGGAATTTCTATTTCAAAGATTTCAAAGATTTCAAAGGTTGCAAAAGGTTTGGGAAACTTCCCGGGAGTTTCCCCCGCCTTTTGCAACCTTTGAAATCTTTGAAATCTTTGAAATCTTTGAAATAAAAATTCCCCCAATACTAAATTACGAGCCCGGGCTCGTGATTTAGAATTGGGGGGAAGCCCGGGCTCGTGATTTAGTATTGGGGGGAAGGGCCGGGCTCGTGATTTAGTATTGGGGGGAGGCCCGGGCTCGTGATTTAGTGTTGGGGGGAAGCCCGGGCTCGTGATTTAGTGTTGGGGGGAAGCCCGGGCTCGTGATTTAGTATTGGGGGGAAGCCCGGGCTCGTAATTTAGTATTGGGGGAATTTTTATTTCAAAGATTTCAAAGATTTCAAAGGTTGCAAAAGGCGGGGAAACTCCCGGGAATTTCCCCCGCCTTTTGCAACCTTTGAAATCTTTGAAATCTTTGAAATAGAAATTCCCCCAATGCTAAATTACGAGCCCGGGCTCGTGATTTAGTATTGGGGGGAAGCCCGGGCTCGTGATTTAGTATTGGGGGGAGGGCCGGGCTCGTGATTTAGTATTGGGGGGAGGGCCGGGCTCGTGATTTTGTATTGGGGGGAAGCCCGGGCTCGTGATTTAGTATTGGGGGGAAGCCCGGGCTCGTGATTTAGTATTGGGGGGAGGGCCGGGCTCGTGATTTAGTATTGGGGGGAGGCCCGGGCTCGTGATTTAGTATTGGGGGGAGGGCTGGGCTCGTGATTTAGTATTAGGGGTGAAGCCCGGGCTCGTGATTTAATATTGGGGGGAAGCCCGGGCTCGTGATTTAGTATTGGGGCTCGTGGTTTAGTATTGGGGAAGCCCGGGGGGAATTTCTATTTCAAAGATTTCAAAGATTTCAAAGATTTCAAAGGTTGCAAAAGGTTTGGGAAACTTCCCGGGAGTTTCCCTCGCCTTTTGCAACCTTTGAAATCTTTGAAATCTTTGAAATAGAAATTCCCCCAATACTAAATTACGAGCCCGGGCTCGTGATTTAGTATTGGGGGGAAGCCCGGGCTCGTGATTTAGTATTGGGGGGAAGCGCGGGCTCGTGATTTAGTATTGGGGGGAAGCGCGGGCTCGTGATTTAGTATTGGGGGGAGGGCCGGGCTCGTGATTTAGTATTGGGGGGAGGCCCGGGCTCGTGATTCAGTATTGGGGGGAAGCCCGGGCTAGGCCTCCAATACTAAACAAAGAGGCTACCTCACATTATACCTAAAGGTCCTTCGTACATAGTTACTATAGGTAGGACTCTGGGGTCCTGGCCCTCCATTTCCTGCATCGGAACTGCCACCCTCTCGCGCGCCGTCGCCAGCGATCCACTGGCTTCCACCCCCCTTCCCTTAGGATGGCCAGGACTAGGAAATCTGAATATCTGACAGCCCTGGTAAAAGGGCCCGCCCTTCGGCTGCATAATGCTCTGAACGTATAATGGAGGTGCCAGATTTCAGGGCTCTGCATTTTGCAACGGTAGAAAAAGGAAGCTCCACAACAAAAAAGACAAGAAAAGCACCTTGGCCTGTCTTAAGTAAAGGCATCCGTCGCTGCAGCTCGGGCGCCGTCGCCCTTGTAGGGTATGTAACGCCGAGGGCGCCGTCGTCGACCGTTCGGTGCTTGAGAGCCGTAGGCATTCGGGTCATAGCCTCGGGATGCTACGGAATCCATGCCGAGAGCGACTGGAAACTTCGAAGTCTTCCCCGGTTGCTGCCAGGGTCCTTCAGGCCCGTAGCGGTCATAGTCATCATAGTCACTGCCTGCATAGCCGCCGTAATGGCCTCTGCCATAGCGTCTGCCTGTGAGGTTTAGACCCCAGGGCTACGAACCTACCGGGCTCCTCAATGTGTTCATTTTGCTCAAAATTGCCATTGCTGCGACATACTTCACGTGAGGTCTCCGCACCCGTATACTGCTTACAGAGCACAAGCAAGGCATCCAATTACTCCAAGGTGTAGCCGGGGGGCATTTCAGCCAACAGGGCTTTTCTGGCTTCCTATAACCAGTGTCACCGTGGACATGCATCTTCAAACCTCATGTGGAAACCCGGTGCTTGCCTGCGGGTCCGTGAGGCCCGAATGGCCCTCGCCGCCCAGCGGGCCCGTGCTGCCCTGACTTCGGAAGGATGCATGGCTTCGGGATGTTTGCGGGTGCATGGCGTAGCGTAGCTGTCGAGCTTTCGAGAAAACAATGAACCATAGAGTTGCTTACCTTGTGCTTTCTGATCATAAAGAGAAACGATTTTCTGGACCGGACATGCAAACCGTCCAAACAGTCTCCTGGACAATCAAAGTGAAGCCTGCATGATGGCAACCGTGACAACAACATGTCGCATGTCAAGGCACCAGAACACGAACTGCCCACACTGCCCCGGTCCGCCCGAAGGGCCCAGTCCTGCACCGCCATTCTCGAGATCCTCGGCCTCCTCCAACATAGCCTCTTCAGGCCCGTTGAGCAGAGGGATGTTTCCGTGGACCCTCGGCATCAACTGTCGTCTGCATACTCCCCAAGATTGAAGCCACCAAGAAGGATCTCGAAAACGCAGGCACAGCATCAAGCATACACGCATACAAACATACACTATATATACACATACATATACGTGTGTATCTCTCTCTCTATCCCTCTCTCTGTGTCTGCGTGTGTACGTATATGCACGTATTTATGTATAGTCAAGCCCTGAGCAGTCGACCTCGGAAGCAAGGAAAAGACTGCTGCATGTAAAAGTCGGCCATTTTTGACACCGACGTGCTTTTGAAAAAAACATGGTGGCCAGTTGGCAACCAGTTGGACCTTGCCAACGAACGAGGCAGGATAACTAATTGCTCGACCTGCGGTGCAAGCAGCCGTTGCATGAGCAATCGGAGTTGTGTTGGTAGAAGATCCGGAACCTCACGAGAACTTGCGGATCTTTGAACACAACAAACTCCTTATGGTCCAACAGCCCTCCTTCTGCTTTCGTTGATACTGCCACGGAATCGTGGGCTGTCCCGTCATCGCGCTGCGGTGCGCGAATCTGGTCTTTTCCTCCAACATCGCTACTGTTCCTCACGACTTTGCTGTCTCCTAGCAGCACACGCGAAACCAGTATGCATCTCTCACCTTCAGGATGGCGGCACCGACGGAAGTCCTCATTGCGGGCGCGCTCACACATATGACAAGTCGTGTAGAGATCAGACTTGGAGGCGTTCTGCGCGAAGTACACACCCCTGCCGAACATCGCCCCTGCTGACTCTCCACCACGCTGAGCATCAAAGCCCCGAGCGATGATCTGCTCTGCATTGTGCCAACAGGTACCATGATAGAGTAAGTACTCGTTCATGTCCACCCAGCCCGCTTGGGCCTCGCACTTGAAGGCAGAAATGCCAGCAATCGGAGAGCAGCCACGGCTGTCTTCACTCGCCCTCATGCGACGCGCTGCTTCATAGAGCAGCTGATTTGCAGGTTGGAGCACCTCCTCGATGCGTGTCACAGACACCCTTGCTGGATCGCACCAAACGTTCGAGTCCATGCGCAAACGATGGGTGACTATGGATGCGTGAAACTGCTCCAGGAGGGCAACATGCTTTGGATCATCAACGTCCAAGCTTCTGCAGAAGCTTTTGGGCGAGTCATCAAGTAGCTTTGGCGGAAGTTGGGAAAGGATTGCCGTGTAATGCCTTTGCCTCTCTTGCTTCAGTGCGGACTGAAGCTTTTCGAGCGTATGCAGAGTTGCCTCCCATGAAGCAGACTGCTCTGCGTGAGCCTCCTCCATCTCGTCTATCGTCCGCTTGTGACAAGCGATCTCTTCCTCCAAATCAAGGATCGCTTGAGCTTTGTTCTGGTTATCTGCTTTCAGCACTCGGATCTCCTCCTCGAACCAAATAACCTCTTCAGCCTTCTTGATGATTTCAACACTCAACTGCCCGTTCTCTCCACGCAAGTCCTGAATCTCTGCAGTCATCTTTTGCACGGCATCTGCGTGCAGCAAAATTTCTCGTCTGCGTATAGCACGAGTCTTCCTTGTCTCCACATTTGTCTGCGTCATGACGGACAGGTTGATGCGATAATCAAAGCCCGAGGTACGGAGAATCAGCTCTGACAATTTGCTCCCGTGTGCTTCTTCTAAAGACTTCTCTGCATGAGGGAGATATCGTCTCCACGAGCCCGGTTCTTGCTCCAGATACTCCCAGCAGGCAACTGTCTTATCTCTGCCAGAGGCTTCGGAGCATGACCATGTACCTAGGCCATCCACAAGAGACCCGATGAACTCCTGTTCTTTCTGAAGCATCTGGGTCTTATCAGCCAATTTCTTCTTCAGGCCTGTGTTGGAGCTGCGCATCTGATTTAGCTGACTCAAGAGGCCTTCGTTGCGTTGGCTCAACATGCGCACCTCAGCGAGGGCTTGGCGAAGCTCATCCTGAAGCTCTGCCGGAACATCCTTTTTGCCACTCGCAACATCCTCTTTGAGGGTTTGCTCTTCGATGTCATCCTTCGCCGTCTCCAAACTCTCCAAGCTGCACACTTCAGCTTCGGCTTGAAGCCGCCGTCGCCTTCTGTTTTTCTTGTTCTTGCTGATTGCCATGGCACCCGCTGAAGTCCAAACCCTATCAACGTACGTAAGTATATGCATCAGAAATACTGATTGCGCGCTGTTCACTCTGTTAAGGCGACGGACATGTACTGTTCATCTAGCACGAATGACGGACTACATGCGCTAGCCCTGTCCAAGAATGAACACAGCAGCACCAAGCTTTTTCAGATCATTTTCAGCCACCCACATGTGCAGTTTGTACTCGGGCGGAAATCGGACCGGCCTCGTCTATGGGCTTTCCAGACCTCTTGGCGCGCTCCATAGCGAGGGCTTTGGCCTCACTCGGAAGGTTGAAACTCATGAAGCTCTCTCTCCCTCTCTTCATTTTCTTCTTCTTCTTCTGGCCAGCGAAGAGGCCCTGCCATGGGCAACCCCGGCCACGATGGCGGGCGCTCTCTCTCTCCCTCTTCTAATTCTTCTCCACGCCTAAGAGGGCCCCCCGGCTCTCTCGCTCTCTCTGTCTCTGTCTCTGTCTCTGTCTCTGTCTCTGTGTTTGCATCGACGTGGCAAATCAGCAGACTTCTAGAATCATAGGTGCATTTGTTCAGGAGTTGACAGATACACCCGCACGCGAAACAAAGATTGCATTGAGCCTCATGGAGCTCGCAACTGGCGTTTTTTTCGTGCGCATGCTTGGACAGGGTAGCTGGTTTGCTTGGGGTTTGGGTTCAACCTTAACCCCAAACCTCTGCAAGAGGCGACTGCGCAACCGAATTCAACAACATCCTGCAGAAAGGTTTCAATCCAAAGCCCTTAAAATCCAGATGCTGACTACACTCGCCACTAAACAGGGGGCCTGGAGTGCATCGCGGAGCTCCGGCGAGAGTACGCGGACCTGATGCGACACAGCGCCAAAACCCCTGCAGCGAGTTCACGTCTAGAGGCTGGGTACATGAGAGCACAAGTCATTATGCAGACACATGAATACATCAATGAATGAAACTCCTCGCCTCAACCCTCACTGAGAAATTGTCATTCTGAAAGCGACACAGCCCTTCAACCTAAACCCCAAACCGAAACCCTAAGCCCTAAGAAACCCCCAATGTTGTGGCGGCCTTGGTCGGTGGCCGTGGTGGTGTCAGCGCCTCGAAACTGGTGGCCGGGAGCCTCACATCTCGGAAGCTGCGAAGCGCATACAATGTGCACAGCCACTATTGTTAGCATTGTTGCTATTGCAGTATAGTGACGGGCTTTGGAGATGGAATATGAAACCTTTTTTTTAACTAAAATCGTCTTTATTCTTAGTGATGTTTTTGTCCGCCCGCGTGAGAAATCATATTCCAACTGCACGTTTTTGGTCTGGACATATTCCATGCCAATGGTGTATGCATATTTGCGATGAAAACACCCAAACGGGTACTTCTAAGACTATTATCATTTACATATATATATATATATGTGTATATGTTATGCATGTTTTTTTTCATTATCTACGTACACACATCCCAAGCCCCGACAACCAGCCACACGCCCAATGCGGCAAGGCGCAGGAGCTTACTCAGCAATGCCGTGCCAGGCATGGACCAGGTGTGCAGATGAAGATCGGCAGCATCAGGAGCGCCATGCAGTCATGTTTGCGGAGGGAACATCACCCTCCAATCTGTACATGTACCCTAGTGGCCACGACTTCTTCGAACTTGGCTACATATGTCACAAGCTGAGCACCACTCTCCCAGCCCATGTGCGGTTGGGAAGGTTCAGGCTACATCTACTTCAAGGCCAAGAGCTCCTTTTTCTGAATAACCAGTGGGTCCTGCCACGCATTGGCTCTAAGCAGCTGGCTTGAGTGTTGCGTCGAGGCATCGGGCAAGCCCCTAACTTGCACCTGCTGTCGCAGCCTGGAGCAGGAAACCTTAACACACACCCCTGCAAAAAAACCCACCAAGCTACAACTAACTGCCGTAAAAAAACCTGACTGAGTCATCCTTGGCATGGCAAAGTCCAGGACATCCGTGGGCAAAGGCGATCCTGGCGCTTCACTTACTGGAGGCTGGCGTGGCTTCGAAGGAAAGTCGGGTTAGTGTGCGCATCGTTGCTTTGGGGGACGGTTTGCGTGTTCACAGCGTTGCCTCCTCCACTATAAGACAAGTCTTGCCTTTCATCAGAAGTGGACCTCCCTACGAAAAAACCGCCCCAAGTGCATAAGTTTTCTTTTCTTGCGCAGACTACGACGGGCGCAGGTAATTTGAAATGGGGAAGAAGATGGGGATTCTGAGGGCAAGGGCGATACCTGTCAATTTAAACTCTGAAGCCGCGAAGCCGCCCATCTGAGGTCTGCAATTACCCTGAAACAATGTTCTTAAATTCTGTGCTACTTGATGCTACTTGCTGTCAATGCAGAACAGGGCACGCTGCGAAGCACCAGCAGGCATTCTGCACCGAAAGCAGTGCAAATCTCTCAAACCTCCGTAGCGGCCTGCCACTTTGAAGAGGGGCTCGATCGGCCTGGGACCCAGGGATCTACCTCCTCAAGGATGAAAGGCTGAGGGCGTTTTTTTGGCTTAAGGGTCCTAGGGGAATCCATTTTGCAGAGGTGGGACGTCCATCTGATTTGCTTCTCTGATTTTTGGGTTGATGCAACGGCTGCTCTTCAACTGCGCAGCCTCAGCAGCGCCACCGCAAGCATGCGCAGGGCGTTGTACTGAACCTGACGCTGTGCGTCCGCTCTCAGACTCTTCTCAGCCTGCCATGCGCCTGGCAATTTGCACTTCTGATATGCTATATTGTTCAAGTTCTGTTGTATATTGAAATATGGTTTTGTTGCAAGCGCCATGATAACTTCATAAAGTCTGGCGTCTCGGGAGGAAGAGCTGTGTACCAGCATTTGAATGAAAGTGTGCTGCCATGTGCCAGCATGGTGCACCTCACGGTGGGCAGCAACCTGGGCCTCTCGCCCAGGCCAGGTATCCCATCTGCAAAAGGGCCAATGCCATCACTGCGCCAACTCCGACCTCCGAGGATGTGGAGGGGCTTGAGGGTGCTACAGTCGCTACACCCAGCAAACAAACACCGCGCCCCTTTTCCACGTCTCCATGCGATCACAGCGCCACACTGCCCTGAACTTCCCCAGCATGTTCATGTTTACCCCCAGTTTATACCAACTCAGCCATGCCTTTTTGCTTCTCCCCTTCTGCACCCAGGAGCCCTGAAGCCGAGGCAGCAGCGACTTGCAGCAGCACTGCGGCCGGCACTGGTACCGGCCCGCTCTGGGCCTCGGCAGTGCCGGCCAGGCGCCCGGCCACCTCCAAAGGGCAGATGGGGAGCTATTTTGGACCCTGGCAAGCCTTTTGCAGGCAGTTTCTATTTATTGAAAAACATAAATAAATAAATAAATAAATATATATATATATACTTATGCTTTATCAACTGTTATTTTCATGTGTGTGTGTGTGTATGTTTCGTTTCTTTATGCATTTATAACTGCAAGTACAGATGTAGAGAAGTAAAAATCTATCGACTCAAAACGAGCATGCACGTGACAGGGATTATAGATATATACAGATAAATAGATAGATGAACGAAGGATCGTTCGAGTCCGTAGGGGGCCATCTCAAAATGTTTGTCTTGTCACGCCGCTCCCTACAGGCCACCTGGAAACAATGCCTCCGCACACCATCGCAGCCCTATTTTTGATAATTGCAACGGGCCGTGAAGACCTAAACCATATAGGTTACCCCTTTTTTACATCCACCACCCATACACAAAACCAACATCCCCGAAGTCCGAAGAACTGGGGCAGCTGCATAGGCTCTGCACATCCTCAGGCAAGCCTTGGTTGCTTCGGGTCTCCATTTTTATAGGATGTGAATGTGTTGGAGCCTGTGAGGCTTCTCGTATCGGAAACCAGGTTCAAGCTCAGGAATCGGGTTGCATGGCCAAGCATGTCCAGCTTTTACCAGTCCAGAGCAAGAGGATGGCATGCAACGGCTCAGTAGCACAACCAACCCCCGCTGCAATGTTGTTCTGCAACAGTACAAAACAAAACAACAAGCCTGCTGTGCCCAAGCCCAGAGAGACAAGGGAGGGCAACATCCCAAGGAAAGCACGGCGCTATAGGGCTCGACAGCAGGTCGCTTCACTCCGAGACGAGCCAGCACCTGTCATGTCACACATTCTGAAGCAAGAGCTTTGATACCGAGATGCAAGAACCCGCAAGAGCAAGCGCATGTGCAACCAATGCGGCACCAAAAAGGCAAGAACAAAACAAGTACAGTACAAGCAAACTGTGTTGTGATACTCGCGGGTCCACAATCCGAGCGAGCCCCTCCCGCACAGAGCTTGGTGCTCCACGTCCTAGGACCCACCCCCCCCCCCCACTCCCCAAAAAAAAGCCTTTTACCCCCCCTTCAAACCCCCACGTGCGTGGTGCTGCACCAAGTGCCACAAGACTTAGCCTTCCTTCGTCTGCGATGCGCACGCTGCACCCCATGTTGGGCCAGCCCGGCTGCCGAAGCGGCGCGCAAGCGTTTACCATTCTCAGTGCAGGTTCTGTCAAAGCAAAGAGATCAACCACGACACAACCATAACCACTGAAATGCCCGTAGCTGTAGAATTCCGAAGGACATTTGGACAACGTAAGTGTCTTGGATAGGTAGCAGCAGCTGCCACAGCATAGCCTCAAGCCATATGTTGGTGTAAACAGTCCCACGGAATGGACAGAAGTGCAAAACCGAACTCGTTCTGTGACGAACCCAGTAATTTCCTGAAAGCAGCCAGTGGAAGAGTCGAGTTCCAAGACAAAGCTAGTGCACGCCGCGCCTTCATGATGCAGATTGCCACCAAAGCGATCTCGGCAAGGGAGACAACCCATGAACTTCATGAACATGCCCCTTGACACATCCCAAGCCCAGCACCCTGAGTCCACTACCCGTACAGTACCAATCAGGAGGGTGAGGATACAGCATAAGGGAGAGATACTGGCATCTGAGATGATTTCAACACGCTGAGGCTTGGCTTTCAGGCGCTTTCAGTCCATTCCTCGGACTATGGGGCGCCCCAGGGATGGATAAACCCAACGTGGTGTTGCTTAAGGGTCTTACGGTCTGGAGTAGTTGTGAGGCAACAGCTTTTGGCACGTTCCATAGAGATTCAGCAAACTCGCGGGCGCTGAGATGCGACTTCCGCAGAAGGGTTTGGCATTAAGGGTTTACTAGGGTTTGTTGCGGGGGTTGACTGGTAAACCACAAACCCGGTGTCTGCTGACAGCCGGCCCAGCAACTAAACCACAGGAATACGTAGGTCAACAGAAGGGATCGCCAAATTCGCCCTCAAAAATCACCAGGCCAACGCAACTTGTGGGCTTTTGGAACTTGGGTTCGAGGCTTCGAGCACACATTCCCTCTTAGACCTTGGTGCCCATCCGTACTCCTTGGTGCCCATCATCCCGATGCCTTCTCGTGAGCCCTCACGTCTAGGGTTTGGGCGTACCGCTAAGAAATGAGCGAAGGGCCGTACCGAATCGAACCGCGATGTGCTGTAGAGGCCCCGGCATACAACCTGAGGATGCATGGGGCGTCACAAGGGCACTTGGAGGTTGGATGGCTATGTAAGCATAGCGAGGCCACTTGAGGCTGCCACTAGCTGCAACTCTCTTTCTCTCTATAATATGTATATATTTTCTATATGTATGTATACATAAGTATAAACAAATATAAAAAAAAACATATACATATATACACGCACATATTGCTAGCATCACGTTCGTCCAAAAGAGAGGGCACGCATGTCTCGATGCAGAGCAAAGCTCATGTGTAAATGGTACAGCCCAACCTACATCCTGACCCAACCCAACCCTTCCCAAAAGAACTTAACTACGGAGACCTGGCTTTACAGAGGCACCCGAAAGGAAGTGAGTTTCTGACGACGTGTTCACCCCCACATGCGCCCTCTCAGTGTTTCTATGACCCCGTAGTACATGCGCAAGCTACACACCTGATGAAACCCACCTGCTTTGTAGATTGGCTTCTTCACATGCCCTAGTCACATGCCCTCTCCAAAATCGCACATCTGAGACTCCTGCGTTACCACTACAACGCAGGGCACGATGACAAGGGAGCTGTCCTCTTTGGGAGACTCCTCGCGTTGCAGGACTGGAGAGTGCATGGAGAACACCAAAGCCAAAGCTGCCCATTCGTGCTTTTTGGGACGCAAGAGGCCCAGGCCCAGGGCTGTCACAGCAGGAACTTCCTCAAAAAGAATCCCTGCAACGTGCTGGTCCTTCGTCAGGGTCGACCTTCAGAGATCACTGGGAGCGACTTTTTTGGAAGCCGGCGTGGGAAAGATGTCTTGGCGTTGGGCGAGGGTGGCCAGGTAGTGATGGAAATATCTACTTTCAGCAGCTGATTGCTTGTTTCCACATGCTCTGCTGAAATCGGTTTTGTTTCGTAGGTTCGCACCTAGGCCCTGGATCGACTCTCGCCACAAACCTTGTGTGGAGCTGCGGTTTTAGAAGTCTTTCGGGGCACTTGCGCTCGGCCCAATTGATATTAACAGGCTTCGGGAATGTGCCGGTCTTGAGGAT